GCTGTACCTCGCCTGAGCTGCTGCGGCGGCGGCAGCTGCTCTTTGCCTGGGTCGGTTCGGTTGCTGAGGGTTGCCCGCCAGGCTCAAAGCTGCTGTGAGCGGCCACCTCGCTCTTGTTTGCTGGTCATGCCGGTGGAGCAATGACGGGGCCTCGCGTCCACCGGCTCTTGCATTGGTCGCCACGCCGCGGCCATGGGCCAACAACCCTTTTGTTCGTGACCCTCCTTGTCCTGCTCATCCAGTCCGTGGCAACCTTTGAATCGCAAGCCAACGTCACTCTCGTCACTCAATCCTTCGAATCACTCAGTCTCATTAGCCCACCTTCTCAACCAACCGGTTCGCATCCTCCCCGCCACGCCAGCTGCTCGGGCCGCCCCCGTCTCTGTCCCGCGCGTGTGCCTTGCCTTGAAAGATCTCATCCGTTTGCTCTCGACGCCTGCCTGGCATATGCTTTGCCCCTACATGGGTGTGTCAAAATGGACCAATCACACTTCAAATCAGCTGGAGACCAAGCCACTTGGACGGCCTCTCCACCCGCGGGATGGAGTGCTGATCGTTCAAAAATCCCCTTTGGTGGTGTCCCGGAATGTCAGTCAAACCCAAGCTCATTCCCACGCCCTGTCCCCCTGTTCAATCTTCTCACCCGCTCATGCTTGCTCTCACCCATACTTGAATCGCATCGCCACTGCCTGGATCCTCAGGGCGCGGATGGAGCTTTGCCACCATTGACTGGTGGAACACTGTGACAGATGCTGAAACGCTGCGCAGTGCCTTTGCCACTCTGGCTCAAGGGGTTGCTGCCATCGCCGACTGCAGCGAGTTTGACAACTCTGTGCCAGTAGATGTTGGCAACTACACGTCTACCCTCTTTTCTCCCACCTGGTCTCTTGCTCAAGGCTGGGCAGGCCGACATGATATCACCTTGGCCTTTGATTCCTCGTGGCGCAATGCCATGGCCCAAAACGGCTCCCTGATCGTGCGCCAGTTCAACGCCGCCGGAGCGCACCTTGCAGATAGCCAACTTTTGCGCCTTGAAGGCAACGCCGCGAGCTCCCATTACGCCCCCAACTCTATCCGCATGAGCCAGCACTTCGACCTCGCTGTGCCCTTGGAGGCTGCGGCCGCCGCCTTTCAGCTGGTTTTTGTCTTGGCTGCCCCCGTCGCCTCATGCACCTGGTAAGCCGACTCAACACCCCGGGCTGCCGCCTTAGCATGACTGTTTGCTCACCTTTTCCGCATTTTTGTTTCCTGCGCGAACACTGTGCGTAGGTGGGCCATAGACAACGTCCGGCTCGCTCAACTACAACGTATGCTCGCTTGCTCGCTCGATACAACGACCCTCCTGCCGCTGCCGTCACCCTGTCCTCAACCCGGTATTATTGGGTTGAAAACGCTAGACAATGTGACAACAATCACGACCGTCTCCACCTCCAGCACTGCCGCCATTACCACCACCTCCTCCGAGACTTCTGCTGCCCCCACCGCTCTGACGACCAATGGCGCCGCCTCCTCCACGAGCGCCGTCAGCTTGTTTAGCATTTATAAGGCCGCTTGGTGCCAGGCCATCTTTCAAGATGATCCCACTGTGCAATCGGATATTTTCCATCGAGAAGGTGTCAGTAGCGCAGTTGACGCCGAATGTTTTTGCCGGATCGACGAATCCACTGCCTGGACGTTGGTTGGGATGCTTGGTAATACCAATCAGGCCTGGCAACCTGCCTTGCCCGAAGCTGCTCAGATGTGGCATCTTGACGACGCTTTCGGCGCCATCAGAGGCTTGGCCGACTACAAAGCACATTCTTTCGGTCAATGTGCCACGTCTTCCCTTCGGATAGAGGTCAACGGAATCTCCCTCGGGCGCACAGTGCCGTTTGGGTCTGCGGGTTGTCCAAGCCTCCCTGCCAACCCCACCTCCTTGCAGACCGTCTTTGCTGGACTCTCCTTCTCCTGCACACCTGAGACGACATTTAGCCTGGGGTACGCTACCTTGCCCCTGCACTTGGTAAGGAAAGCAGACTCAACGCCAAATGCTGTCGTGCTCATCCCACGTATCCCACATAGCGATCCCTGTGTGCACGCTTGCCAGTTGGTGGCTGGGTCAGGCGAGGCCTCGGATGACTATTTTCCCAATGCAACCCACATTGTCTTCAAGACAGGTCATAGCTATAACACCACCGTCTTAAGCACGGCATACTCTGAATCAAATCTAGAGCGTGGTATGCTTCCACTCTCCTCGATGGCCCATTTGTAGGTCGGCCTGCCAACTTACCCAGCACGCATGTGTTGTCCCCGCCTATCAGTTTACGTGGGTGTCATCACCGCCGATGGACACCTCTCAGGCCTGGGCTCCTCGTGCCTGGGCCCTTGCAACGGGGCCCAAAATGGCTTGGGCGCCGCCAATGTGGGGCGTGTGACGAGCAATGGCACATGGACCAGCGCTGCTGCAGACAATGTGACGCTGGTCTACAGCTTATTCTCCGAGTGCTGGGCCTGCATCGACGATGGTATGGAGCCCAACACAAATGCTTCCACCGCTTTTGCTTTTTATCGTCCAGAGCATGGTGAACTGCAAGTGGACGCCATCCTGTGTGAGGATGATGAGGACTGGTACTTGTTGAAAAGCGTGTGTAGCGGAGAGCGCCTCGGCGTTCGCGTCACCGTGACTGAAGACTGGCAGACGTCGGCTCTCGAGCTCCACCTCTTGTATGAGGAAGCGTCTGGCGCGTCGGGCGAAGTTTCAGCTACTAGTAACTCCTGGCTCAACGTTTCGCTTCCTGTCACGACTTCTCCCATCTTGGACGTTCGCATGCGAGTGCTTTCACCCCTAAATCAAGCAGCCAGCTACCGCTTGCAAGTGTCGTTGACAGGTGAATGCAGTCTTGATTTGAGCCAGACGACTCGATCCACTTCATCCACCGGCGACACCTCGGATCAGCTGGATCCGCAAGAGCTATTGGGTATCATTATCAGCCTGCTTTTGGCTGCGATTGTACGTCACACCCAGGACCAGCCCTCCAAAGCCACACATGGGAGGGATTCGCCATCTTGACCATCTCTGTCGCGCTTGCTTGTGTTTGTGCTCGTGTGCATTGTTGCATCAACACAGCTATCTATGGTTGCGTTGTTACTGTGGCGACGCGTGCGGCGGACTCTGGACAAACCCCGCAAGCTCTCTTTCCTAACTGCACACTTTGATTGTAAGTGATTGATGGCAACCGCTTCGCGGGTTGACGGACCAATGAGCCGAGATTGACTCGACTTTTGCTTGAATGTATTTTTCCAGTGGTCAAGGAGCTGTATGCTGGCCAAGTTCCGGACTTTGTTCGAGAACCGACGCTGGTCGACCCTGGCTCTTTGCACATCTTGGAGCAGCTGGGCCAGGGGCACTTTGCCGATGTTTTCAAGGTGGATATACCGACCTGTCCATCCGCTTTCAACTGACCTTCTTTCCGCACACAGAACGGTGCCTGTACCCGTTGCTCTCATTCCCTTGAGTAATACAATGTCATGATTTGGTTCTTACTCGGTGCCGCACCTTTGACGCTGATTTCAGGCCTCGCGTGACACGGAGGGCGGCGAGGTGCTTGTGGCTGTTAAAAAGCTCCAACTTGATTCGGATCTTCGTGACGAGCTCCTTGCTGAGGTACACACGATTGCCTAGAAACAACATTGCCTGGCTTTCAGTGGCATGATGGTTTGCTTGCTTAAGCATTTGTCAAACATACTACTTCTCTCACCTTGCTTGGCTTGGTAATGCGTGGGCTTGCTGGGGTAGGCCATTGTCATGGCTCAGATCGGTCATCATATCAACTGCGTGCAGCTGACTGGAATTACGCCTTCCTTCGATGCTATTGTCCTTGGTATGTTGCTTTTTCACGCAGTCATTAGTATTTCAGCAGTGCAACCGGTTGAATAGTTTGATGGCCCCCCGTGTTGCCGGTTTCCCAGAATACATGGAATATGGCGAGTTGTTGGGGTTTTTGCGCGCGCATCAGTCTGACGTGACAGATGGTCATCGCCGACTTTGGGTCAACCATGTGGCATGTGGCCTGGCCCATTTGCACACACAACATTTCGTGCACCGCGACTTGGCGGTAGGCACTGCGACGCTGGTCCATGCTCAGCTCGGCTCGAGACTAAGTCAAGAAGCTGGCACGGCCACTGGATGCATGCGCAGTCTAATTTGGGCAACCGCAACTCGTTGCATGCGATAGGCTCGGAATATTCTTCTCAATTCAAGTCTGGTGGCCAAGATATCGGATTATGGCCTAGCTCGCGCAGCCCACACGACACATGGTGACACGAGCAGCATGGACGAAGATCTTTACTGTATGTGAAGAAAGCATTTTCGAAGCAACAAACGGTCCCAGAGACAAGGTGCACGGGCCATATATGCTCACTCAACGCCCGCGCACCGCTCGCCTTGACTGTGCCATCATCAGATCGCATGCAACATCGAAGTGAAATTCCCATCCGCTGGTCCGTAGTTGAAAGATAAAGCCGTTTGCCTTCCTTTGTACACCTTCATCCCCTGCCCTTGTACCTTGTCAGGTCGTCACTTGATTGCCTTGAAAATGCCCTGATGGCATGTAGGATGGCACCCGAAGTCTTGACGGCTGCATCGACTTATTCAGGTGCTAGTGACATCTGGAGCTTTGGAATCGTCGTCTGGGAGATCCTTCACGATGGCGCTACCCCATACAAGGGCATGAGTAACGTGGAAACCATAGTAAGTCAGATGAGACCATGTCAGGTGTTGGCCTTTGACAGTTTGACATCAGGCTCATACCAAACTTTGCGGTCGCCCCTCGCCCCTGCCACGGCGTAGGCTTTTATCAGCGAAGGTCGTCGGTGTGTCTTGAATTTGTACACCCGTTGCCACCTGCTTGTGGGCGTGCGCAGGCAGCACTCATTGGTGTTGCTATGAATGGCTTATCGTTCCACTTCTTCATCACGTTCTAGAATGGCTTGCCGTGATGACGCTGCCCCAGAGCTACTGCAACTCTACGTCGACTGCTGTACTATTGACGTGCAGAAGCGTCCTCGTGCCCATGACTTGCCAGCGCGCTGCCCTGCACCAGCAGAGGCGCCTCGTCAGCTCGTGCGAATGGCATGGCAGGGCGTTCAAAACGGTGTGTGGCTTTTTGATTGATTGCGCCCTGATCCACGTTGCAAGTGCTTTTCCTTGGTCGCATTGCGCGTGCTCACTTGGTTCCTACTCATTTATCCTTGCTGAATTTCAACATAGACTATGAGTATTTTCGAGCAGGAGAGACGCTGGCGGTAGCTAGCCAAAGCCGGCACAGCAGCCCCAAACATCAGTATGGTGGCTCTCGAATCACATTGTCCAGCCCGCGTGCCTCGGGTGCAGCATTTTCCACCAGCGGTGTGAGCAGCGAGTCCTATCGCGGTGCGTCCTCTCGCTTCTTCGGGTGGAATGGCTTTGAAACCACGGGTATCCCGGCTGATATACGCGAAACTTGGTTGCTAGATGTACTGCGTCTACGGCAAATGGCCGCGTTGGGCTATAATGTCGGCAACAAATCGCCCAACAACTCCTTGCCAGATGTGACACTTCAGGACTCCGATGGGTCGTTGAGCACCTCGCGTACCCTAGATCCGGGTGCTGTTGTAGAAGTCCCGCAGACTCCCTTGAGGAAACACCAACCTCAAGCCGCCGATCAATTGCCGTTGCCAAGCTCAAGGCGCAAGGCTCCCAAGGATGTGGACCTGCGTGTGCATTTGATGCCCGTGCGACCTCATTCGGCACCTGTGGGCCAGCACTCGGGCTTGGGTGGTACAAGCCCGGTGCGGTCAGACTCGAGAGTCTACTTGAGCAGTGATTCTGAGGAAGAAAACGAGGCAGATTTGCTGTCACAGTCGAGTCCGGCACATGCTCTATGGGCGCAAAGAAGCTGGTACCACAAATCTCCTTTGACGAGCCTCGGGGCAATGGAGAGTGCAGAGCGCTCCGATTCGGTTGTGTTGCTGAGCAGCGACGAAGAATACGATGACGATCATATGGCGCCACCGAGTGCAGTTCACCACGGGGGCATCGAGCAGGACCTGGACGTATCGGTGATCCTTCCGACTGGCGTCCGCGCTGCATCCAAAACTATGCCCAGTTCGCCTCGGCTTGCTCACATAGCGCAATCTTCCAGGTTGACGACGGCCCATGGTATGTCCACAGGCCCGAGTGCTACTAGCAGCTTGGGGACGGTTGACGTGGACATGCCTTTCTCTTCAGGCTCAGATGCTGTTGCCATCGACTTGACTTCATCCAGAGAGATATCCATCGGGCGCCTGAGTCTGGCGTACTGCTGAGGCTTGCTTGCGGAAAGTCATTTTTGGCCTGAAGCTCGGTCATCTAGCCTTGTTTTCTTTCTGGCTTGCCATTTGAGGTGCTGGGGCTGTGCCCCCTTTCTTTCTCTTTGAAGCCCGTGCATGGACATGTCGGAGAGCATCCATGAACATGATGTTATTGCTGTTGTTTGAGAGTTTGCGAGTTCATTTGATTGTACGTACGAGGATAAGGCACAAACAAACGGGTCCACGAGGAGCCCGGCTGTTTTTGTGGGTGCTGGGCCGAGCTTCTGCTAACACCGATTTGCTCGGTGGTTGTGTCTCATTTTTTCCTGTTATCGCTGTTTTGCTCGGGTTTGAGAATCACATTACATCCAGATGTAACCATATTCCTTGCATTTCTCCCTCGCACCCTCACTCAGATCCAAGAAACATGCTTGCTTGCTGTGATCGGGAACCGTGCTGCTCAAACCAGCAGAATGGCCGGGGCACTGGTTGTTGAACTTTAAGCTTTGAGGTGGTCAATCAAAAACTCAATTCAAGAGCGAGCACCCCGAAGAGTAAAGGGGAATAAGATGAACTAAAAAAAAGTCGCACACTGGGGCGAGGATCTAAACTCATAAAAGGGCAAAAAGAAAAAAGAAAATAGAATAAAAGCCAGAGGTGCCAAGAACCGAATGCTCGGTGGTAGGTTTCCAAGTCTTTGCCAGCGGGGCCAAGGCTCGGATGCGCAGAGCATTGGTTATGAGGATGCGACGCCGACGACCGAAACAGCTGCAGGATCACGGTGCAAGTAGTGAGGTGTTGGGGGTGATGCTTGATGTCGGCGAAGCGCAGGGGAACGGTGTTGGTGGAGGCGGTGACCATGATGGGCATGGAGTGGTTGTGGGGCATGTTCAGGTGCCTGATGGGCCGGGTCTGCTTGGTGGGGCTGTATCAACCGTAGGCGAGCCAAGAACTGATTGTCCTCGGCTTGACGCTCACAGCAGACCTGACAGGGGCCTAGCGTGGCCACGGATTGTTCAGCGAGCAGATCGGCGTTGACGCCAGGGGCGAAGAAGGCTTGTTGAAGGCGATGCCAGATGGCACGTTGAAGCAGTACTTGACGAAGATCCAAGGAACCCGAGATGTACCCATTTTTGTCGTGGGCTGCCTTGACGAGCTGCCCATGGGAAACTGCTGATCGACAGCAGCTGCACTCGCGTCTCTTGTGCATGGTTCTGGTTGAAGGTGAGCCACTGATGGGGGCTCGAGCGTCTGTCTTTGAGGGAATGGCGGTGTCGATGAGGAAAGGGGGCATAGGCAGGAAGCTCAAGCCCAACAGCACTGCAAAGAGACAGCGCAATGTGCACGGCACGGGAGAAAAGGAGCAAAGAGCCCTAAACGTGGGTTTAGATCGCCGTCAGGGGGGTTCTGCAAAAAAAAGACTTGATCAAGCATGGAGGCTTGGAGAAGAAAATGGTTGGCGATCGTGCGGGGGGGGCATTTGATCAACAACCAATTCAGGGCAAGCTGTGGTATCTCCCCTTTCCACACCCGTGCGAAACGTTGAAAGGGGGTCTTGCAAGCACTGAGGAAACTGGGGCCCGTCCTCAAAAGCCCCAACACGAGCCGCAAAGATGCACGCCCTTGTGTGTGTGTGTGTGTGTGTGTGTGTGTGTGGCTCTGCGTTTGGGATCAAAAGCTCCAGCTCTGATGTGATGCAAGCTGATCACCTCTGTGTATGAGAGAGAGAGAGAGGCGAGAGTACAGGGTCATACCGCCACATGCCGATCGCTTCCGCGCAGTCCCAAGCCCTAGTTCATTTCTGAAAAAGTGTTTCCCTACAACAAGTCGCGAAACATTGACAAAATGATGATTCTGTGTGGCTCGTATCTTGCATGGGACACACGACAGAAGGGATACGTATGAAAGCGTGTGTGTGTGTGTGTGTGTGTGTGTGTGTGTGTGTGTGTGTGTGTGTGTGTGTGTGTGTGTGTGTGTGTGTGTCCGATCTGCTCGGCTGTCTGTTCAATCTGTGGCTCTCTGCGCACTCCTCACGATGGCTCTGAACTATGGCACTGGTTCAGTCTTGCACTGTGTTTTTGTCTCACACTCTGACTCTCTCTGGCTCGACACTCACTTACTCTCTCAGTCTCACGCGTCTCTTTGCACAGATGGCTAGTAGTCACTCTGAGGAAGGAGCGCCTTAGGGATCGTGCCAAGTATTAGTGTTGCAGCTTGGGGCACCAAAATAAACACCGCCACTCACCTGTTCAGACCCTCGAGCACACTGACCCGAGCTTGCAGCGTGAGAGGTATCGACAAAAGGGGCTTGCGCCCATGGGAAGCTCCGTTTGCGGGTTCGTCACGGTCCAGGCTGATGACATCATGGCTGTAGGTGCAGAAATTACATTGCTCACACGTGATACATCTGCACATGCAGAATGCTGGATTCCAGGAAATCGTCAGCCGCCTGACGCCACCGTTCGCTCACGGTCAGCATTGGTGTGTCCGTCATTGTGGTCTCTGCCATCGGCAGCAGAGTGGAAGTTCGCCCAACAATGACGATCGTCTGCGGAATCATGACACACATTCACAAATGTTCATACCATCTCTTTAACCCAAAGGCGGAAATGAATCGCCGTACGCAACAACGTCAATGTGGTGTGGCACCCCGCCGCTGGTGCGTCAGTAACCACGAGGCATGAACGAACGCCATTGCCATTGCCATCTTGGATGGATCCGATCTGTGTTTCTTTCAAGCACCAGGCCTGATTGCGATGCCTGTACAACTGTGCAACAAGTTTGGTGGAAACGCGGGCTTCTTTTGAAACTAATTACATCCGGGTGGACAGCATGTCACTGTCAAAATCGAATACGGCACAATGGATTGATATTGGTGACATCACAAGCGTGCCCTCTCACAAGCTCGCCCTCAGGTGCAACTCGTGTTCTGCGCAACTTATTTCTCTTAACCCAGAATCGCCGGGTTGCCCAGAACGTACTTCAACGACACGCTCTGCGCCGCAACATTGCATTGCACGCAGCAGTAGTCAGATGACATCAATCAGGCACTTTGTCTGACGCCCATGGATATAATGTGACACGACAGATCGGTCACAAACACTCACTTGCGGTCGCACTCGGCCATCCTCGTAATCATCATCCTTGAATCGCAGCGAATAACTCCTTGATCCACTCAGCTACTCCCCCATGCAATGGCGCGTGATCAGCCCACAATACCGTCCTCACTCCCACCCAGGCGACCTCGGGCCCAAGAGGACCACAAGTGCCCCCTTGACAAACCAGATCAGGCGGAGAGATGACGGTCGCTGGATAGAAGCAGGTTGTTTGCGGATAGAGCGCCAGCACTGGGCAGTCGGTCGGATACAACTACGCGCGACGAAAAAAAAAATTAGTTTTTGAGCAATAACAACTTAAAAAAGGCAACAAACAAGACCTGCCGTACAGCATTCAACACGAACCGCATCTGCCGACGCTGGTGGCGGAACCCAAATGGGCAGTGGTAGTATGTTGGCACGGCTCACAAGCCGCATGCTATTCCGGCCCAACCAGCAAGACCCCCCAACAATCAGGCAGCATGCCCCTGTCCTCCCCTCCTCTTCTGCTTCTCTCGTCAACCTTTGTTCCCACTCTGCCGAGTACTTACGTCTGAATCTCCGTGTCCTCAATCAAGTCCTCCACAAGATACTCATCCGATTCCGAGTGTGGCCCAGCCACAATGGACAAGATCCAATTTTGGCCCATGAGCGCTGCCACCTACAAATGTGGCCACCCATGAACCACCAGCAAATGGCGCACAGCCCCCGTTCGGTCCCGCTCGGTCCCGCTCCTTCCCATTGGATAGTAATGTATCAATGCATTGTGGATGGCTCGCCCACCTCGAGCCCCGTGGGGAGCGTCGCATTCTTGGGCCATGGCGATGCCCCACACAAGGGAGGCAGCCTGCGAGTCACCGAGCCCATGATAAAACAGAATATATCAGCAACACAATCGGCCAGGCCTTCGATGCAGCTGCGCGCACATAAGGACGTACACATAAGGGTCAGCCCATGGAATTAGAGTCTGTTCCAGCGAATTGATCAACGCAGCAGTCCGCGCGGAGGTAGATGATTTGATAAAGGGATTGGCCTCGGCCTCCCGCTTCTTGATGAGGGCAGAGACAATGCGCTTGGCCGCCAACAGGCTCCTGCCAAAGACCGCCACTCTCTTGTTGAGCGCCGCTTGACCCTTCTCAGCTGGAGATGGTGGCTGCAAGGAACATCAAGCAAGGAACATCAAGCAAGCAAATGGCCGGCGTACTGACTTTTCCTGTTGGATGAGTGCCCCCGCCAGAGGCAGAATGTGGTTGCAGGCGCTCGTGCACGCTTTACTATCTTTTTCTGCCAACAACAAGGTCCCGTCGACCGAATGCATGAGAAGAGCAGGCAGGGTCGTGCCACCTTGCTGCAGACACATCATATACATGGGAAAAAAACCCCCTCCTCCGGGGGCTGTCCGGCCTGTCCGGCAGTCGGACAATCTTGCTCAAAGAATAAAATAAATAAATAATAAAAGAGAACACTCGACAGGATCCCAGCATGATCTTACCAGCGTTGGCGTGGAGAGTTTGAATAGTCTGCTTCACAGACTCGCGGCTGCGAGTGGCGGCCGCATACCCCTCCATCGCGAGCTGGAGCTTGTCTGTCATGCCTGCCGGTCCAGCGCCTTTTCCCTCGCCAATCAATGATGTAGCTTAAAAATACTCGCACACATGCACAGCCCGCGTGACGAACCAGCCAACGCTTGTCTGGTCCCACCTCGGCCAATTCATCCAGAGCCAGACGCTTCCTTCCATGAAGCGTACCGCCGCCGCCGCCGCCGCCGCCGCCGCCGCCGCCGCCGCTCAGGGTCGAGAACTTTGCCGTTGCACACTCGAACGTCTAGTCAAATTTGGAGAATGTGAAATCAAATTCCAAGGGTATGCACTGTTGTAACTGACGACTCTGGCGGGTAATATTTTAGTGCTAAACAGGTGTTGTGGCGCATGCCCGCTTGGCAACGAACGAATGGCGGAGATGCCGCCCCGTGCAGCTCCTCGCCGTGTCTGGCCTAACCCCTTTTGAGTCCTGGATGTGATGTTGTTTAAAGAAATGCTGGTGAAGGGTGACTCCTTCTAAAGGTGTCAACGTCCAGCCACAGCCAACCTCAATGGAGGTGTGACTTGCAGCCTGGCTCACGCTCCGCTGCGCTTTTTAGCAGGCCCGGAGCACGCGCGAGGCGCTTGGGAGCACCCTGGAGGAGTCGCGACACCCTTCATCTGGGCATAGAAGTCTCACATGCTGCTTGCGCCATTGGCCTAAATAAGCCTGATGGCTGACGTGAGGCGCTGCATCCGCTCACCTCTGTGTCCACCCTCTTGCTGTCCCAGGCTTCCCTCATCGCCTGCTGTGGATTGATGTTGGACTGGGCTCAACTGGGCTCAACTGAAAAAAATAGGTGGCAGCCGTACCGCCCGAGGACGTGGCGCTTGGCCCCAGTATCAGCGAAGAGCCAGAGGCCCAAGAAGTTGTGGACAATGTACCCGTGGCCGAGGATGAGGAACTCGCTTCAACTCGTGAAGATGAGTATCTAGAGGGCTTTGATGCCGATGTAACGGTCATCGCCGAGGAAGATGAGGACGAGGCGCTCGACGTGAGCTGTGAGAAAGAGACAGCCGGTCCCGTTGAAGAGCATCTCGAAGACCTGTTTGGTCCGTCCAAATGCGTTCTGAAAGGCTTGCATCCGCCCAGCAAGCGACATTTGACCTAAAGCGCAATCCTAACAGTAGACATGTGTGCATAGGGGATGAGACGACTGAAGTACACCCGTCCGTGGCGGCAGCTGCCGCCGCGCTGGCTGCCCATCAACTGGCGGAGGAGCAAGCCGAGGTAGTGACAGAGGACGACCACCTCAGCGTGGTCAGCCTCGACTTTCACGACGAATACTGCGAAACGGAACTTGAACTTGAATGTACGCCACTAGCTCTGCAGCACTTGTGACGCGCGCAGAACTGCACGGTCTCACGCTCAAAATGCCCGAATGTCAATCTGCTGACTTTCAGACTCGGACGCAGACACATACGACGACGATGATCCTCGCGAAGCCTACGAACACTTTTGTCGCACGGTACTGCCCGCCCTTGCCCCTACATGCTCGCACACACCCGGGCAACACTGAGGCTGCGACTTTCAAAAGCGTCCTTTTGCTGAAACTCAAGCTTGCCGTTGCGACTACCCCTCGCCTCAAATAAAACAATCAGCACGATATTCCTCCACTTCGCGTGTACACGGACCAGTGCCAGGAGCCGTGCATTCGACTACACTACGTCCCCGTCAATCTGCTCCAGGCCCAGGGTTTGGCCGCAGCGTTTGCCGTGGCTCACTCCCTGACCGCCCTTGACCTGCAAGATTGCCAACTCAAGGATGCAGGTCTTTCCGCCATTCTGCACGCCCTTCAAGATCACAACGCTCTCTGCTACCTTGTATGTCCGATCCCGCATGGCGCAAGCTACCAATCACAATTTTGTTCCTGTATTTTTCCCGATGCCGCCGTTGGGTTTTCGTGGGCCATGCTTTGAGGCTTTGCGGCTTTTTGGTTTTTGCTCTTTTTCTGATTCTCTCTCCTCTCTCACGCATTCCAATTTCTGACCGCCGTGCAACTTAAAATAGGACATTTCGTGGAACTCAATTCGATCCGGCGCCGTCAGTGCACTCACCGACCTGCTGGCCAGCAGAGCCAGCCTGCAGACCTTGAAGATTGCCGGTGCGGACCCTTCATCTCACAACCTAGCTGGCACCCGCACGCTATCGTCACTTGATTGGAGCATCGCCTGACGCGACTTGGTCTCATAGGTTGTGGCCTGAACGATGCTCACATTGAAAGCCTGGCTGAGCCATTGTCCGACCATTCATCGTGCGTTCCGAAGATGTTTGCTCAAAAGCATGACATTCTTGATCTTCTCGATGAGATCTGTTGCCTTACCGAAAGTGAATCTGATGTATAGACTGCGCCACCTCGACTTGAGCAACAACCAGTTTGGCGATCACTGTGGCGTCAGTCCCCGTTTTTACTGTTTTGTTTGTTTTTGGTTTTATGTCTTTGTTGTTGGTGTTGGTGGTGGTGGTGTTGTTGCTGTTGTTGCTGTTTTTGTTCATTCGGACTCGTGCATGTGCGAATGCCCACCCCACCTCACCTCACCAGTGCCTTTGCTTGGATTGGAACCATGCCCTTTTGACTTACAACCCGGGTAGAAAGCGCTTGCCCAGATTACCAACTCGGACCTCGTGTATCTGGACCTGTCCTGGAATCAATTGCGTGATCGCACCGCCATTGAGACGGTTCACTCGCTTCGTAACAGCGTCACGCTCAAAGTGGTCAAGGTACAGCATTGAATTTTATATTCCCGTTTGACTGTCTTGGCCCATCCTCGCTCTCGCTCATGTCTTGGTCGCCTCTCCTTTTCAGTTGGACTGGAATGGCCTTGCTGATAGTGGAGGCCTGGCTGTAGCAGATTGCGTGCGCAACAACTCGTGCGTACTACTGCTGACCGCCTCGCCCATGGCTTCATCTTGTTTAGCGCCCAGCACAATCTTGCTCTCCCAGCTCTTCTTGCCGTGTGTTTTTCACATGTTCATCCAATCTTACGGCTTGGATTTACCGCGCTGCGTAGCACCATAGAGGAGCTCTCCGTGCGCGCCAATCGTATCTCGCGCGATGCCGCCGACGCAATTGCCAGTGTCCTCAAGAGCAACACATCTTTGCACCGGCTGGATCTTTCCCTCAATCCGATCAACCTCAACGTGGTGGATACCCTTTTCGCTTCGATGAAGACAAATCGCAACTTGCAGTCTGTTTTGCTGGAGAAAGTTCCCATCTCATTCGAGGTCGGTCGATTTGGCGTGTCAATTGGCACTCACATGCTTTCTTTGCCTACAACCCCGACAACGAGCGCACGGCTCCTTATTCTCCTCGCACTACTTTGTCCTCTCCACAGCTTCGAGCTCAGCTGAAGAAAATGGTCACGCCTTCTGAAAAACTATCCTCGCTGCGCAACGAACTTGTTCGTCAGCCTCAAAGTACCTACCCTCGGTCCTTGGGACCCTACCAACCAGTTCACCATGTCTTGCGTACTTTCTTTGCTCTCTGTCTGCTCTGTTTTGTTGGCGCCTGCCTAGGCCACTAGCGAGGCAGAAAACATCAAGCTACATCAGGAGCAATGCTGCCTCAAACATTGGACGGCCTTGGAAAAGTCGCTGGAAGACCTGGGTAGCTCTAAAAGTACGTATCCCCCAAATGACATTGCAGATGCATGCAAGCCTTCTGCGCTTTTGGTCGTAAAATCTCAGTTGCATTGCTTTTTGGCCGACTAGATGAGCTGCGCTCGGCCGTAGTGCAACTCCTGCAGCAATGCGTTCAGTCTGTGCGCTTATCCCACTCCGCCACCGAGGCCACTGCAGCTCACAAAGAAGGTTTGCGGGCTCTTTTTGCACACCACCAAACCGCTTTATGGCTTCTGGCTTGCAAAACTGCCCGTCAGGCTGACCTACTCCATTGCTTGACATGCCTTCTTGCCTCCATCCTGCCTCAGCTGAGGAGCTATGGCAAGGACTGCTCAATCTTCTTGAGGTACGGTGTGATGTTGGGAATAATGTCTTGATTTTGACCATCATCGCCCTCTCCGCGACCAATCCCTCATGCCGGTTTGATGCCTTGGCCTCCTCCCTTGTCGCATCGATATATCGACATTGTCGTAGCAATTGCCGACCGGCACTGCCGGTGAGTTTGGTTCCAGTCAACCCTTCCTTTCCCTTCCCCCAGGCGGCTCGTCTGCTTGTCAACCCGAATCTTATTGGCCCTGTTTCTCTCTCTTTTCCATCAAAATGTTTCTTTTTCTTTTACAGTCCGAGACTTTTGTAAACTGCAACGCAAGATGGATCCTCTCGCGACCGCGTCCTCCGTGAAGCTTTTGCAACCACGTCTACAAAGCTTGGCACGGGCTGCTGAGCGCGAAGCGGCTCAAAAAGCATACCGACGGCCCGAGACGTTTGGCACCATGCCTGAAAAGACTGTGGTGCAGGAGGATTTGAGCGAGCAAGATGAGCTGCATGACCTTGTTGAGCACGGCGTCGAGGTTTGTTGCAGACCTGTCATTGGCTCAATTGGAAGTGAACGTCACTCGTCGATGGTGCTCATGCGTGCTGGGCTGAGGCGCATTACAGCTTGCCAAACAACACGAGGCTGGTCTTGCGCTCTGGTTCGCCTCCATGGCGTACGTTCAGGCAGGTACTGTGAACCACCAAGCACAAGCCGCCGACATTGAGGCGAAAGAAACCTATGCCTCGGCCATGGGTCTCTCCCTTGAGGATGATGTGGTGGCACTCCCCGAAGGCACCCGTAAGTGCGCGTTATGGGAAGTGACAAACGGCAATAGGCGTCACTCAGCTTTGGCAGGTTGAGACGCAGCTGCTGGCTTGGCAAGACTCATGAAGCCCTTGTCTTGCTTTCACATAGATGAGCTTTCGGCTTGCATCTTGGCTGTGGAGGCCGTGCAGCGGGCTGTTGAGGAACACGTCCGATCACGCAGCCTCGAGGATGATTCGCAGGCCCTGCAGACCTTGGTTCGGAAATGCCTCATAGGTGGGTGTGACGACCGCGTGCTGGCTTTGCGGGCCAGTAGGGGCGTGGCCGAAGGCTCTCACCTCGCCATCTTGTGCGATGCCTCGCTTATGATTAGACCACGCCCATGGACAGCTGAATGTGGAGGAGCTGACATCCATCCTCGTGGCGTTGGGAAAAGCACGTTACCGGGCCAACCACGCCGGCAGTATGTATTGTTCTCGAGACCAGCCGCTCTGTTATCGTCATGGATGACAGTGCGAGCAAGCCGAAGAGTGTAGTGCAGTACTGATGCGAACCATCCTGCGTAGAGCAATATGTGCAAAACGTTGAGCAGCGCGTCCGAACCATGAGCGACAAAGTCGTGCAGCTTCGAAATGATGTTGGTTTCGCTCAACCGTCCCATGCTTGTTTTCGCGGCCCGGCAAGCCTCGCGTTTGAATACATATTGTGCTTGAAGTGCCATTTCTTCGCCCCGAGCAGGCCTGAAAGGACTCACCTTTGGCATCTTGCCACACACCCGTGTCCAACAGGCCGATGAAACACTTGAAGCGGACATGGATGAAGGCCTGCGACCCGACCTGGAGGTCGTCGTCGACGATCACACTGGCGGCGACTTTGTGGGCAAGGATCCTTGGCGGGTAGTTGAGGAATTCATCGAGCGACACAAGGTTGGGCATTAATTGCTTCCCGCAACCATGCTTGAGGCGCGGCTCTGGGGCGCAGGCACTGTCGCGATGCTCCAATATACACGTGCGATGCCCGCGCTCTTTGGCTTTCCTGACTGGCTACCCCGTGCTTGGGTGCGTGTAGTTGCGTCTAGCCGACCTGTTTCGGCGCTTTGACAAGGACGGCAACGGCACGCTTTCGCCAACCGAAATCCGCCAGGGCATTGCAGTGCGTGAGCATGCGACAAATGGACTGCTCGATGTGCACAAAGATGTCTTCACGCTCATACATGTTGCCTGTTCACTGGACTTGCTCTTGTGCATGATCTAGGAGAGTGGCATGCAGCTAGCTCCGGAACAGATTGAGGACATGATTGAGGAATTGGACCGTGATGGTGATGGAAATGTAGACTACCGCGAGATGGATGTCACGCGCCGCATTCGCAAGACTAAAATGGCCAACGAATTTTATCAGGTATGATGTGATACCCACGCTGACTCGCGCGAACAGATATCGAGCAGCACCTCACCGGGTGTGCCCTGTGGCCACCTCGCGCCGCGAGCACAGAAGGTTGGCAAGCTGCAAGCTACCCCTTTTGGTGATAATTCTGTAGTACAAGATATTATGAAGACAATGGCCTCGGACATCGTGGGCGTGACGGGCGGCGGTATCCATCTGCGCCGCAGGTCCTCTGTAGCCAGCTAGCAGATGGATTATATTCAGCTAGCAGATGAACTCTCTTTATTCTGCTTGTTCTGGAACTTCTCATCCGCCGTATGCAAGCCCTAACCGAATCTTCTTAGCTGTATTGTCATGAGTGAGAGTGCACCTGTCGTCCAATGGTGTCAATGCCGAGGAAAGGTGCAAGTCACGCGCTTGCTTGATGTCGCAACCCTGATGGCTTCCTTCGCGCCGAGTATCACGACTGGTGAATCGATTTGCTTTGAAAATTTCACACCCAACCTGAGGGGAAAAAAATCTTGCTTTGGACATTTTATCCACATGCCAACGCTGCCCAGCATGACTTTTGCAAATATACTTTTTCAAATAAAGCCTAGTCGTCGAGGTCTGGCACGTGGTGCCCGGATCAAACTTGATCTACGCTCAAGTCCTCACCCTCGACGGCCGACAGCATGTTGGACAGTTGCGTGGCGCGCTTGGCTTGCAACACAAGGCGCTGCACACGACGCACGGCCGAGTTCAGCGACGTCCTAACCGACAAAAGTTTGTGCCACACAGCCGAAGTAAGCCACCAATCGTAGAGCAAAGCCGAGGGAGGCGGGACCGGCATGCGCACCTGGACGGCGCCTCTGACATGTCATCTAGAGCCTGAAGTAGATACATGGGGACACGGCCCTCTTTGCCTAGCTTGGTGACGCATTTGGCCATTCTATAGAGGATCCGCAATTGGGTTTAAGTTGGAGATGAAACCCAGACTTGCTATTTTTCAGGCGATACGCGCGCTGCCTAAGCCTCCTGACTCATCTGCGCTTCCCGCCATACGTATGAGATACAAGGTCTATGGCATCCACTGCAACATACCGAGTTTCGTTGTCAATCTCAAGCACCCGCAGCGGTTGATTGGCTCGTAGGGAGAGTTCCTCCGAGCTCACAGCCGTGTAATCACCCAGGGCCTGTCAGTGGGCATGCCGAAAGACACAACATCAAGTCGTATCTCGTGCTCTAACAACTTTGCGTGCAAAAGGCATGGCTTACCCGGTGAGTCACCGCGGGAAACTCAGCCTGCAATGAGTCACGGCGTCGCTGACGCGGGGGAGGTGGTAGATTCCCGTTGTGGGTTGATGTGTCGCTGAATGTTTCCAAGGCGGTGTAAATGGGATCGCCCTCATTGCGAGACCTGAGCTCAACGCCCAAATTTAGCACATTGGGCACACCACTGAGCAAATTTACATCACTGGTGCGTCGGGAATGGGGTGGTGATTGGTAGATGGATGCGGTGCTCTGCTGTCGGCTATCAAACCACCGAAGCGCCTAGAGCGGTTGTGCATTACATAAGCAGCAAGGAGAGAAGGATAAGCAAGCTTGTCTCGACTGCTGCAACCCAGTGCGCATTCGATAGAAGGTGCCAAAAGGCAACGCCTGCACAGGCCATCACACATTGCGATTACCTTGTAGGACTTGCGAACGCAGAAGTGATATCTGCTTCGTGCATACTGGATTAGCAGAATGGTACAAACCACCAGCACCACGGCAGACACACTGGCCACTGCAATGTTGCTGGCACGCCGTCGTTCGTGCGTACTCGTGGGGGACGTGCTTTGCTCAAGATCCAGGGCTCCACGAAGGATCACAAAGCTTGAGCGTACATCCAGATTCGTCGCTGGCATGAAATTGCCGCTGAGATCAGCTACCATGGGGCCGCGGGCGCTCACCTCCAGCTGAGCTCCACCTATAAAAGGTACGGATATGTGCAAAGAAGAAATGATCAGAGTCAGTCAGTTGGTTCGTCTGGTGTGAAATACTCGCGTGACGCTCAGAGTCTTCGTGCATAGCCGAACCGGATGTGCGCTGCAGCAGCAACTGCTGTAGCTGCAGATTGACTGTGCTGTCCAGCTGTAAGATAACCTCACTGCCCCAGAACATCGGATCCTCCTGCACAATCACCCCATCGGTGGGTAGGACAAAGCTTTCATTCTGCATTATAGAGAGCGTTGGCGGTCATGAACTGTAACTTGCATGCGCTGACGGGGGGAAGGGGGGGGGGGGGGGGGGGGGGGGGGGGGGGGAAAAAATTTCCCGGGGGGATTT